CCCTCGGAATTACCTAGGAATATTCCTAGGAAATTCCGAGGAAAACCATCATTTCGTCGGAATTTCCTAGGAATATTCCTAGGAAATTCCGAGGGAATGATGATTTAGAATCGAAAACACCGATTTACGATTTCCACAAAACTTTCATAAGCCTTATTAAGTGTCTTGGATTGATTATGGGACAAGACATTGCTGTTGTACCAATTAATAGACACTTTTCCGATTGTATCAACGAGATCCCCAAACAACAAGATAAACACTTATACACTTTAATGAACAGAAACGACAATAATTGCACTCATTTCAATAATTTTATAATTTCAACGTTTATTTGGCATCTATTGTCAATGTTACCCAAAGAAAAACTGCTAAATTGTTCAAGGAATTGTCTAAAGTTTTAAATTTTGGATTTTGAAACCCTAAACTATGGTTCCTCGGAATTTCCTAGGAATTTCCTAGGAAATTCCGAGGAACAGCCTGACCAATAGAAACACATGCAGAGAATATTCTCTGATTCTAGAGAATTCCGAGGGAATTCCTAGGAAATTCGAAATTCCGTCGGAATCCCCTGGGATATTTTCATTAACCGGGAAACCAAACCGCCAAAATTTTCGTGAAAAATCGAATTTTCGTGATTCCGACGGAATTCCGAGGGATTCATTTTCCCTCGGAATTGTCGGGTTTTAAACCCGAGAATGTTCTTCTTCCCCATTCTCTCTTTCTCTCTTTTCTCTCTTCCTCCCTTGCGATTTTCCGGCGAGTCCTCTCCTCCCTTGCGATTTTCCGGCGAATCCCCTCCAAATCCCCCTCTAAATCCGTTCCTAATCCCCATGTAAGTTCTAAATCCGATTTTCTTAGGTTTTTAGGGAATTTAGATTGTTAGGATTGAGATTAGATTGTTAGATTTAGATTGTTAGGTTTATTAGATTGTTAGGATTGAGATTGTTAGGTTTATTAGATTGTTAGGATTGTTAGATTGTTAGGTTTTAGGGAATTTGATTTAGCTTAGGGTTTTAGGGAATTTGATTTTGATTAGGTTTTAGGGAATTTGATTTTGATTAGGGTTTTAGGGAATTTGATTTAGTTTTTAAAACCAAAACGTTTTTGATATTAAAATATATATTTGGATTTTTATAATTAATAAATTAATTTTCATAATTTATAAGTAAGTTTAAAAGTAATTTAATAATTATTTCAGTCATTTTTATAATTTATAAATAAGTTTAAAAGTAATTTAAAAATTATTTTAGCCATTTTTATAATTTATAAATATTTTTATAATTTATAATTTATAAGTAAGTTTAAAAGTAATTTATAATTTATAAGTAAGTTTAAAAGTAATTTAATAATTATTTTAGCCATTTTTATAATTTATAAATATTTTTAAAAGTAATTTAATAATTATTTTAGCCATTTTTATAATTTATAAATATTTTTATAATTTATAATTTATAAGTTTAAAAGTAATTTATAATTTATAAGTAAGTTTAAAAGTAATTTAATAATCATTTTAGCCATTTTTATAATTTATAAATATTTTTAAAATTAATTTAATAATTATTTAGCCATTTTTATAATTTATAAAAAAGTTTAAAAGTAATTTAATAATTATTTTAGCCATTTTTATAATTTATAAATATTTTTTTTAATTATGAAACTATTTTTGTATTTTTATAACAATTTTTATTTTTTAATTATTTCTATATTAGTTTAAATATTCTTTTAATACTCAATTTTTCATTTATATTTTTAAAAACTAATTTTAAATCTTTATTTTTAAAAAATTATAGGGATTCTGGTGAGTAGAGTACGAGGGCTCGACCTCGTCGTTCCGCACCGCGAGGCCATGGTCCTTCGACGCCCCCTTCTCGGGTTTCGTCCAACCGGTCTCGGGGTTCCTCTTCATCATCACAGAACATCCATCCCGCTCCGGTTCATCAGGCGGTTCCTCCGATCGCTGATGAGGCTCCTCCTGTCGTTCACGACTTTCCGGACATTCCCGAGCCTCCTGTCGCTCCAGGAGTGATGTCTGTTGCACAGCTGGTGCAACAGCCAGGTCGTGAGCATCTCCCCTATCTCACTCAGTATCCTAGGGGACACAGTCAGACTTGGTAAGTGAAAGTTTTTTTTTCTTTCTTTTAAAAAATTGATTCATTATTAATAATTTGTTTCTAATATTAGGTTCGACCGATCCCATAACGTGATCAGCGCTTGGATCACCAGGATGATGTACTCCGACCTCAGGAGGGGATACAAAACCTTCTCGGTGATGCCTGACAACGAGAAGGAGTTGTGGTTTCGTCAGTTTGCTGTAAGAATTCTAACTTTTTTAAATTTCTTTTTTTTTCTTTAATATTATATTTTTACTAATCATGTTTTTTTCAGCAAGAGTTCACCTGGCATCCCGATAACACGACGTTCATCCGTAACGCCTTCGTCCATAAGTGTATGGAGAACTATGGAAGGCAAATATATGAGTGGAAGCAGAAGTGGCTCAAGCATAAGGTACTATCTTTTTTACTTTTTTAATATATTTTTCATTCTATTTAACTTTTTCATATTTTTTTTTTCATTAAAAGGTCCCAAAGTCGATCAACACGACGGTCTGGCAGGAGTTGTGTATCCATTGGAACAAGACCGAGACGAAGGAGATCTCTAACACCAACTCCACCAACCGAAAGAGCGATCGTGGCGGGAAGGGCATCTTCGTGCACAATTTGGGTCTATTCCCACTCTCGCAGACAAATTGGTAAGTTGAAACTCCTTTTCTTCTAAATTTTAAATATTTTAATTTTTTCTGTATTCTAATGTTTTTTTTAACTTATGTGTTTTCCTAGGCGGAAGAAAATGATGGCGAGACCGTGGGTGATTTCGATTTGTACAAGAGGATCCACACCAACAAGACGACGGGCCAGATTGATGACGGTCTTGCGCAGGAAGTGGTCTCCCTGGTGGACAGTATGAGGGAAGACGAAGAGGCCCGTCTCTCCCAGATCCAGGCCGATCTCGACTCCACATCCACTGCATCGACTGCCCACTCCAAAGTTCGAATCGACGAACTTCTTGTATCGGTAAGATATTTTCTAAATATTCAATTCATTTATTTATTTTATGAACTTTTTTCTATGATTATAATTTTAAATTTTCTTTTTTAGGCGATCCCAAAGAAGAAGGGACGTTTGGTCGGTTGGGTCGTCAATCCAAACCGATTCCTTCTACATCTCAGGTGCCAGTTGATCCTATGCTGATATATCAACTGAAGGATAAGGATGACCGCATTGCTATGTTGGAGGCGAAGATGGCGGCTCAAGAGGCTGCTAGTAAGGCAGAAAGGAGGCGGACTGAGAGGATGATGGAGGCGTTCTTGAAGAAATTCCCAGACGATAACTTCGACGGCGACGACGACGACGAGGAGTAGTTCTTGTTTCTGTTTTGAATTGCTGTTTTGAATTTTATTTTTTGTTTCTGTTTTGAATACTACTTTTTAACATTATCTATATTATGTTTTTTATTTGAATTTCAATTTTCAATTTTAAAAATTTTAATTTTATTTTCGAATTTTATTTTTTTTTAAATAAATTTATATTATTTTTAAAAAATTAAATATTACGAATTTTCCGAGGAAGGATATTCTTCGGAATATTCTGAGGGATACCATTCCTCGGAATTTCCTAGGTATATTCCCAGGAAGCAAATCCGTCGAATTATTCCGAGGAACGACTTTCCTCGGAAATTTCCGAGGGTTTGATGTCCTCGGAAAATTCCGACGGATTGCTTCCTGGGAAAATTCCGAGTAACTTTGTCCCTCGGAAATTTCCGTGGGAATTCCGACCATTTATTCCATCGAAAAGCTTCCTCGGAATTTTGTCCGTCGGAATGTCCTTAGAATATTCCGAGGAAATTCCGACGAAAATTGTGATTCCAAGGAGATTTTTCCGAGGGACTTTTTGTTCGGAATATCGTTGGAATCGCTTGATTCCGACGACATTCCGAGGAAAATGTCTCTAGGAATCGAGGTGTTTTTTTTGTAGTGAGATGATGAATGAGTTTAGAATTATTTTGTAAAAATTACTTTTTTACTTGCTGAATTTTTTTATAAAACATTGTTTTTCTAATTTTATTTAATTATATTTTATGTTTTACTCCATAATTTATATTTTCTAGATTCACCACTGTACAATCACCATAAAACATTCAGACCTCCTAAATCGTTATCATCCAAACTTTACCTTTAGAATTTATCAAAGTGTATCTACTTTTTTTTATCTATAGTTTGGATAAAGAAGGATAAAAATCTCGTTTAATGATGTCTCAATCAAAATAACCTCATCCTTTTTGATAGCTTGATTATTTGATTATTTTCGCTAAACATAGAATTCGGACACACGTACCATTGATATTGTCATTTCAGTGTTTAGACTTTTAGGTCTCTGATAACTAGTACTTTCTCTTTCTCAGTTTCATAGTAAGTGTTACTTTAATCTTTTTATTTTGCTAAAAAAAATGTTATTTTACAATTTCAATATAATTTTATACATTAAATCTATTTTTTTACCTTTTTGAATAACCAATAAATTTTATTTAAATCATTCTCATTTACTTAAATATAGATTAAATAGAAATATACATTATATTAGAAACAAGGAGAGTATTTCCTTTAACGTCCGATGGTACGAGCTCTAACGCCACTAACATAAACGTTTTAAAATGTATGCATCACGGGACAAACATTGTTAAACGTTATAACAAAAATGTAATTTTCGTTTTAAGGTGTGGTATAACAAATCAATTGGTATCACTAATTACTACATTGTTGTATTATTATCCAAAAATAGACCACTTGATTGGTTATCTCGTTAGTAGCTACAAAACTATTTTTTTTTTTAACTGATTTCGTATCCTTTCGTAAATATATAAAACCAAGAGGAAATGAAAGTGTCATCAAGAAAAAAAACAATAAGAATTCAGAACTTGTGTAACTTTATAAAAAAAAGAGAGATATGAGAAGAGACTATAGCATTGCCAAGAACGCTATACTTTGCTGCCTTGTATTGCAACTCATCATATACGAAGGAGAATCCATAGAAGTTGGAGACGTGAGTTTCTCGCTAGTGATGAAAAACGAAATGTACGGCTTAAAACGTCCATTGGTTTACTACCGGTGTAAGTCGTCTGAAAAATCCCTCCGCTGGCACAAATCGCATCCCAAAACAGAATTTACATGGGATTTTGATGTACCGCCGTTTGGAAACGGCGTGGTGACGCACCAATGCCAGTTCATGTCAAGCCAAGGGACAGCAAATGTCGAGATCAAGACGTTGTCGATGACATCTATGTTGTGCGGGGGACATGTGTGTAAATATGTTATCAGACCGACCGGTATATATTTCGTTGGTTTCGAGACTTATTATCCACACAACATTTTGTTAAGGTTTCTAGAGTTGGTAAGGCCTGTTAACAAGCTTGTTGAGCCATGGAAGGAGTGGTCTCCGCGGCAGTTAAATGCTTTACGAGCGGAACGCAATCGTACTATGTCAAACGATAACGAAGATTATCATGATGACGACAAGGAAAAGGACGATTAGGTCTAGAACACATCATTTCTGCCAATGAAAAGAGTGAAGAAATGAAAAGAAATAGAATTAGTTAATTTTCTTTATGTGATATGTAGTGTCCTTTTGTATGTTAAGCTCTCATATAAATTCCTGACAAAAAAAGAAGAAGTAAAATTCTTTATTTTTTAAACGTAATTGATATTTCCTACTGATGCATGTGGTGAAAACTAGTTGTGTCTCCTTTTTTTTTTCTAATGCTGATGAGTTTGTGACAAAGACTTGTTCCACATTGTCTAGTTTTCTATCTTTCTCTGCACCTTCTAATATTTCCTTTGTCGATTGGTAGTATTCATTTTTTTCACAAGTGAAAACTTTTGTGGGTTAAATTCAAATTCTACCTGTTATTACTATTATAGTTACAAATGAATGTTTGTAGGAGACAACATTAACTTTTATTTTGAATCAAACAACATTAACTTTGTAGGAGTCAATACTATAATTTGTACGAGGCAATATTATTATTGTGGTCGACAATCGATCAAAATGACTGGGGAAAAAAGGTTAAACAAACGAATGGACTAACTTCACACTGAAAATACAAATAGCTCATGAAAATAGTTTGTTCCTGAGCAATAAATTTTAACATTTCAAAAAATAATAATACAAATATCTCACTAGACCATGTTATATGACAACAGTGGTGTCATTTCCTAAGCCACCTTTTATAATAACCACCACCAAGGTTTGCTGGAGGGAGGAGGAGAGGGAGATCTCGTGTAGTAGAAGGCTCTGAAAGCTTGAGGAGAAGGATTAGCTTTCAAAGGTGGAGGAGGAGAATTTATTGGAGTTGGAGGAGGAGGAGGAGGAGGATTAACCGGAGGAGGAGGGGGATTAACCGGAGGAGGAGGAGGAGGGGGATTAACCGGAGGAGGAGGAGGAGGAGTAACCGGAGTAGGAGGAGGAGAATATATCGGAGTTGGAGGTGGATGAGCAAAAGGAGGGGGATGAGCCGGAGTAGGAGGAGGATGAGTAACCGAAGGAGAATAAACTGGAGTAGGAGGTGGAAGAGTAGCCGGATGTTGATATGTTGGTGATGAAGGAGGAGAATATGCAGGCTGGTAGTTAGTGGGAGTTTGCAGGAGTTTTCTGTAGTTTTTGGCTTCAGAAAATGTGAATAAGATTGCCAAGAGGAATACTAAGGTGAAGGAAAGGTCTGGAGACCCCATTTTTCAGGTTAATGTTAAGATCCTTTCACTTAATTATGTTATTATGTATATAGGTTATATATAAGTCCATCGAAGTTGTCATAGAGGCTTCCCACTAACTTTAAGATTTATTTAGTATACAAGTTTTCAAGTATATATTAGTTTTTTTTTTTTTTTTTAAGATATGTATTTAGTATTTAACTGTCACTTAATTATGTTATTATGTATATAGCTAGGTTATATATAGTCCATCGAAGTTGTCATAGAGGCTTCCCACTAACTTTAGGATTTATTCAGAATACAAGTTTTCAAGTATATATTAGTATTTTGTTTTTTGAAGATATGTATTTAGTATTTAACTGCCGGTTTGATAGTTGTTTGCATTTTAAATATCTGTTCTTCTGCTTGTTGAGGCCTTCTAATTAGTATATGCTTGCTTTATTCTTTTTTTTTTTTTTTTTTTTTTGCAGTGGTATTAACTATTATGATATCTCTTTCCGGATCATCAAATTTACAAATTATTCTGCTAGTTGCTTATATATAAATAATGTTGTTTTTTTTAAAACATGTTGTAACTTATTTCGCTAGTTGCTTAATATTTCTAATATTTTGTCATTTGTGAGAAAATACTAAAAGAATACTATTCACTCTTATAATTACAAACTTAAAACAACCTGTTTTGCAAATTTACAGTTCTAACAAATAAGTAATCAAATGTGGATGTTGGAGAATGACTTGTTCCTCCTGTTGACCCGCGCCAAAAGCTGAATCCTTAGCCGTTACACTTTCTAAAAATGGAAAAGTAATTTCTGTTTTGAGACACTATCTATGTTCCAAAAATCAAAAAAGAAAATGAGTGGGGAAAAAGATAAACAGAGTTACACATATGGGGTCAAAAAAGATTCCCAAAACCCTCAATGGGCACTTTTCTCTTGTACTAATCATCACCATAATGATGGTGACTCACTCCCATGGATTTCAACTAGAGATCAGAAATGAGCTCTCGGGTCGGTACAGGAGGCTTGTGTACAAATGCTGGTCCCGCGAAAACGATCTAGGGTGGCGAGAAGACTGGCCAGATCAACACAAGGACTGGTCTTTCTCCATGTCGCTATTCCACACCTATTTCTGCTGCAACTTCCATACAGGATACGGACGTGTGGACAAGCAGGTAGTTGCTTCGTGGGATATGAAATATCAGTGTGGGGACAGGGAAAAATGCACTTGGGTCGTTAAGAAGGATGGACTCTACTTGAGACACTGGAAGACCAAATTTTTTAGTAACAAGTATGGTAACGAGAGGTGGAATGAGTATGTTCAACATGATGTCCTCCAGAAAGCTTGGAGCTAAATTAACAATTTCACGATATTAATGAGTATGAAGCTTGTAACAATGTCGTGATTTTCGTCTCTATATGTTGTTATTTGTGTTAATAAAATATAATGTGTAACTTTATAAATGGTGAAAATGAGATGTTTTGGTATTTATTATTAATAGATTTATAACTTACTGTACATTATCAATGAATACAGTTTATGCATGATAATCACCAAAGAAGCCAGCTAAGTCGCCATTAAGAATTGAAGGCAAGCCACTGCATGTCTCATGTGGAATTGATATAATATACTCTACTATTTACTTGCACTTGATTAATCTAGTGAACTTATTTTTGCAAAATGTTAAAGGCGAAAACTTGTTTAATGTTCTGGATATTTTTTTTTGACATCGTTCTTGATAGTTATAAATTGCAAAAAATTGTGCTATAAAAATGATATCTTTCATTTAAAACATAACGTTTTAACCTCTAAGCTTTTCAACCTATGTTTAAAAATCTGAGGATGACGATGATCAAAGTTTCTGAAACAGCACATTTTATTTTCAACTTTTGAGATTGGTTTCTGTTTTTATCTCCAAAAATAGATGAAAATATAGCTTCTAGTACTTCTAAATTTAGAGGCTGCAACAGTAACGGTCTAATTGCCATATAATGAACATTTATATCTAGGCTACACCTTCACCTGTTACAATTTGTTCGTAAGGCTCAAGACTCAATATTTAAGAAAACATAGCAATTGTTTAATCCAAATGGGGAGAAACCAAGGCTGGTGCTTCTTCATGGCCGCGGCTATGGTCGCAGCATTGTTACCACAGTGGCGGCCCTGGACACAAGCAAAGGAAGCACTGCTTCCTACCGCCACAATAATAAATATTTTAGCGGCCATATACACTAAACAAATTTAACTTTAGCCTAGTGGGAGTGATGACAGTAGTTAGAGGTGGAGGGTTCAAACCCATGTTCCACACATTTTAATTTCGGCCTTTTTTTCAATTTTGGCTTCTAGCCTTCAAATTTATAGGACCGGTACCAGTACCCACCATGGCGGATTGTCTAGAGCTAAAGAACGAAATCACTGGGGTTACTGCCTTACTAGTGTTTGGAAAGCAAAGCTAGCTGTGCGGTGCTGATCGAACAAGGATGACCTAGGGTGGGAAATGCTAAAGCCAATGCAATCACGGATATGGAAGTTCAGGACAATGAACATGTGGCCGCTCACTAAAACTGATTTCTAGTGCCAGTTTCGTAGCGGGTTTGGAACAACGGGCCAAGCATGGTGACAGTGTTCTCGGTCCAGAGCGGGTTCAGGAGGAATTGTGGAGACGGAGGCGATAAGTGCATTTGGGTAGCAAAGAGAGATGGTTCTATCAGAGAAGGATCGCATGGGATGAGAATGAGCGTAAACACTTTGTTGATATACTCAAAACCAAATGGGTTTGGAAATGGTGATTTATTTATCCAATTTTTATCTTTTTTTAATCAAAACATTCATTTGCTCAAAAAAAAAATAAAATAAAACATTCATTATATAGGTTATTTCACATGCAGAATCGGTACATATAGGCTAGAAGCCAAAAAATGTTTATTTTGTTGATATACTCAAAAGCAAATGAGTTTGGAAATGGTGATTTATTTATTCAATCTGTTATCCATTTTTAATCAAAACATTCAGTATCCATTGTTATCCACATGCAGAGCCGGTCCTAGACATATGTAGGTTAGAAACCAAAAAATTATGTGGCCTTCAAGGTTTGAACTCATGACCTCATCAAGCTAGTAAGAATATGTTTACCAATTAGGCTGAAGAAAATTCTAGCAGAAAGTGACCGAAATAATACTTAATATTTAGTAGTTGAAAGCATGTGCTTGACCTGCTTCCATTAAAGGCCGGCTCTGTCCACATGATAACATATGGACAACATGACTACAAACCACAAAATTACATGGTTAGATCTAACCAGTCAAATTTTTTTTATTCATTGTGAGTCTTTTCGATAAGAATATTTCTAATATAAAATATTGTTATTTTTCTTTAAAATAAAATTCTTTTATAATAAAATTGAGTTTTATTCAGATATAACTCTATTTTAAAAGAAAAAAATAGATTAATGAACAAACTAAAATATGTTACTCTTGTAGAGTTAATCAACTTTTACTCCATTATGAATTATAGAATAAAAATAAAGTGGGTTGAAGAATTTTACTCTAAGCTCTATTTCTAAAGTAAGAAATATGGAGTGGGGAGCTATTAGACTCGGAAAATCGTCTTTTTTTAAAAACGTACGGCATGATGATAGTATCTCCAGAAAGATATTCATGGGTTTATATAAATACATGGAGATTTACAATACTATAAAGAAAACAGTAGCATTAATTATTTTTTAAATTCCTAAAATAATCGATGTGATCTCCATTTCTGCGTAAAAACCATGAAAATCAGTTTTTGAGGTATAAGAACACATCAACAAGTTGAGAACTCTCCCAGGCACATCTCCCTAGGCAACAACCAAATTACTGGTCCGCAACGTCCCACAGTTTCTGGCTACCAGTAATTATCTTTTTTCAGCTCTACCTTTTGTCACTGCCACAACCTGACAGCTTCTCACCAACCCGGTTTCTTTCCTCTTTGAGGTTTTTTTTTCAAATCTCAAACTGCTAGAGAGCTTCTAACCGGGTTCAGCCCCCGACTTCTTGTCGGAGGCCCGTCTTTCCGGCGTAACCTCCACCACAATGTCACCGGCAAGCTGCAGCTAAACTGACCAACGAGGAATCTTCATGGAAAGTCTTCATTAGCTTTCAACGACACCTACAGCTCTTATAAACACCAGAAACCCCTAACGGCTACAAGTACCGCTTCATTCTTCAAAGTACTATCATCCCTCCACATCAGAAACAGAACAACGCTTTACAAACCGAAAACTACTCCTCACGTCAACGGTCATTCCACCCCAACCTGGCAAGACGCTTCACATATGCAGAAAAAGGAAAAGGTCTATGCAGCCAAACCTCAAGAGTTCCACCACTACGCATCAGAGCACCAGAACTTGACACTGCTCAGGCTATCAGAGACAATGATCTGACTCTCATCGGTAGACTCACCAACCCAGCGGTACAAAAGATCTGGGACCTCATTCCCTTCCTTACTCGCCGTTGGAGTGCACAAGGAGCCGTCACCTGCGCTGACCTGGGCCATAGCTGCTTCCAAGTCAGGTTTGAAAGCAAAGAAGATCTCGACTATGTCTTAGAGCACCGACCCTACCACTATTCTCGCTGGATGGTGATTATCCAAAAATGGAAACCTGTCATTGCCCCAAACTACCCTTCCCAGATCCCTTTCTCGATCAATCTCAAGGGTCTACCTCTCCATTACTGGAGGAAAGAGATGCTCCACAAGATAGGTAGAGAACTGGGACACTTGGATGGCTTCGAACTGACTCCACTAGCAGCAAGAATCAGAGTTACTATTGACGGTCTACAACCTCTGATCAAAGAAACCCTTGGGAGTTCTCGTCGGGAGATGAAGTCATCGTCTCACTCGAGTATGAGAAACTTGCAAATCACTGTCAACTATGCAACAGCCTTCAACACGAGGAACATCAATGCAAATCCCAAAGTGATCAGGAGTCTTCCCACAGAGAACCGATAAGCCATACAGAGATACAAAAGAAGGAGCGACCCCTACCTCCTAACTTACCAACTACTTTAGCTCCTCGCGTGGATAAACAGAGCCGGCATTCTGAGAAGAAACATCACAGAGATTTTGGAGGTATGAGACACTTCAGTCAACGTGTTGACAGGCACGGGAGACCGTTTGGAGAAAGTCCTTCAGAGAAGCTGACAGTTCCAAGCTACAAAAGAAGGTCTCCTTTTGCTTTCAGAGAGGAGGGAAACAAAGAAGCGCTTCAAAACCCACAGATAAGGTCACCAACCGACTCACATTCATATAGAAGAGGTGACAAGCTCTCACCCACTGGACTCGACATCATTGGCAGCAAAGGTCCAATTACACAACTCAGAGACGAATCTCGACGAAGGTCTCTGACTTTTAGACTCAAATCTGCGAGCAACACATTGGTGTGGAAAGAAAAGAAAAGGCCCCAAACAATGAAGAGGAACTAGTCAACACTCCCTACACAACTCCAGTGCAAAACCCTGAGCATCAAGATAAGGAGGTGCAAAATCTCCATGATAACATCATGATGGAGCTACAGGATGCTACTCTCAAGTATTTGGACATACCAGAACCGATTGAAAGTGAGGCAAGACGACAAAGAGTGTTAGAAGGGGAAACACATAACCTAATGGCAGAAACAGCAGCTAATATGTTGGCAAATGCTCTTAAGACTAAACCTCTCGATAGCAATCATGCTTTCTACGCGGAACTTGAGGCTGAATACCCCACACCCCCACCAAGTCCTGCAGCAGGAACTACTCTGGCTCGTGTCGAGGAAAGCCAGGAAAGTTCCATTAAATCAAAGTTCCCGGAATAAATCCAAGTACCTTAAGCCTATTGCCTAAGTACACATATCCTATTAGGTACAACCCAAGGCTTTGCAACCCGACTGAGTAATACCCAATAGTTGGTTCATCCGGACAGGGACTAATGCCATATGGAACCCGTACTTAAAAAAACATTCTTTATACATTCTATAATATTCTTTCAAAAGCATCTTACAAAACATTAAGTATTAACCTCGACGTTTTCGGTTAACAAAAATTATACATAAGATATATGAAACGACTTTGCAAGGATAATAAATCTACCGCTGGCTGAAGCCTTTCCTTTCCGTCCTACAATAAAGGTCTCCCGCCTACTGGTTACCTGCATCACAAATGAGTCATGAGAAACTAGTTTACTCAGTGAGTCTAATCCCACACCCCAACACATATTAATAATATCCCGAACAGTGAACTCCATTTGTATGCAGTGGAAATATATTCCATAACTATATATATATAAGGCCTATCATTCAATCAATGTGAATCCATCTTAAACATCACCTCCACGATACCCACCAATCACTCATACTCATAATATATATATATATGCTAAACCCGGAAAACCACCAAGGCTAACCGAACATAGCGGGGAATAAATATAACCATCATCTCCATCAGATATTCCAAGATAGAACATCCAACGCTGCATACAGTTACACGGTCTCCAGGGTGCGATCCCATCATCGTGTCTTCATGACCTTGATCCATATCGCAGGACCAATTCACGGCAATGCGGGACTTTCGGGAGAGTGAGTATACAATAAGACTTCACACGATTCCTACTTATAGTATTAATAGTATGCTTATATATTAGTACTTGAGAACAAGTACTAAGGCTCATGGTAAACCTCAAATAATATTTCATAATTATTCTTAAGTGTTTACTTAAGTAAACACCTCACCATAATTATAGGTTAAGATACTTTGCTAATCAATCAATCATATTCAGTAATTAAATCAAGCAACACTCTTTCATAAATCATCATTCATCTATCTAGACTCACCTTTAATCCATGAGATTGGCTAAGGAAGACTAGACTCGAGCTCAAGCTAATCATACTCTACTTCGGTGTCACTCTAGATTGNTTATACTAAAATTATTGGTGAACACAGCTGATCCTCGTCTTCAATCTTTACTCATGCTGATCTTCGGCTCTTCTTACAATCAGCTAAGTATCAACAGAACACAAGGCTGGCTCCTGACCTTCAGTTCTTCATCAACACCTAAATCTTGATTAATCAAAGCTCAAAGAAGCAAGTAGAGGTCGTCCATACTCAGTGTCACTCTCTGAATTTTTTTCTGAATTTTTCTCTCTTTTTCTGTCTGAGTTTCTCTCTTCTCTCTCTCTGAATTTTCTTTGCTTCTCTCAGGTTTATGCACGACCAGAATGAAGAGGAAGCTGTTAAAAAGATGTGAGAGCTGCTTCTGATTACTAAACAACATGGCCAGCAAGTTAAGCTTTCAGCAAGACACATGGCGAGCTGCTTCATCATTTCCTGTCCAATGAAGTAACCAAGCAACTGAACCTTTACTTTCTTTGAAGAAAGCTACAAGGAGCGGAAGCTAGTAGCTTGTGACTTGCCCATGACTTACTTATTAACCAAGCATGCAGGTAGCTTGTGACAATCACATGATCATTTAAAGAAAGCAAGCAGGCAGGTTGGTGTAAATCATATGACAGGTCTAAGAGCATTTAGGAAGTTGGTCGATTATCTTTGGACAGTTTTCAAATAAAAAAAAAAGTTCTCGTCCATTAGCTCTCATCGTGCTCTCGGAAAATCTCGTCCCTCTTAATAGAAAAATATCAAGAGAAGGTCTTTTGACTACAAGACAGTCCCGTCGAAATATTAATTCACCGGGTCGACTTTATGTTAATTCTGATCGAACCAACTTCGATCTGGTCGAGCGGAGTTTTTCTAGATCAAAAATTAACTGGCTCGTGAGGGTTATTACATTCTTCCCCCCTTAAAAGAATTCGTCCCCGAATTCTCAAAACATAGATACGTCCGCTACTGCAACTGAAGTCTGTGCAAAGAGTGTAAATAATCAGCTCTGAACTTATCCTCATATGCCTGTGTTAAAGCAACTGATGGTTGGTTCACCAAATACTTGAACCTACAAACTTTTCTGATTCTCCAATCTTCTGATATGATGCTCACCTATCCTTAACGGACCTTTAGGATAAGTGAGTTGAGATTGAAGGTTTTCTGGTCTCACCAGTTCTATCATACTAGGTCTGATATAGGATTACGCAACATCAGCTCACTAACTGCATAACTGAAACAAGCTCCGGTCAATTGAACCTTTTCAACTCTTAACAACTCGTTACAGACCAAATAACCGATCTGCGGACTTCCCAACCTTCCTCAAACAATTATTTCTTTTCATCGCAGCCACTTTCAAGAATAACCAAATTCATTACTGCTACACAACTCTCATCAACTGTGGTTTGCATACTTCTATTGACATCGTTGAATCTCTGAATACCATCACTTCTGAAAATTTTCTATCTGCTTTGCTTCCAGATCAATGATCATGGAAATATGAGGTGATGTTCCATACGTGAAAGTAACATCTCTGGTCTGGTCAATACCAACTTGATTAACCGTGCAACAATCAAACAAGAACATGCACGATCAATCATGCTAACATGATTCAGACCAAGGGTGCTACTCTCAAATACACACACACACCCATTCCAAGAATGATTTCTCTTACAGTATTCTATGCACTTCTGATCTAACTGAGACCCTCTTCATAATCTTCTGAACAACTCAATCTCTCTGATGTTTCTCATATCCAAGTCTTGTCCTATTACTTTCTGATTTCGTTATTATGTCCAACAACTGGGGAATTAACAAGTCCCCCTATACCAAACTTGATTTACCAAAGAAGTACTCTTGTATGATGACTTCACACTTTCTCTGTTGATACATCCTCTGATCTCTTAACAACTTGGGTATTCCCGTATGCCTTATGGTTATACCTTTTTCCTTGCATTCTTAAATATTCCTCGGGGTTCACTTCACATCTGCTTAACTTTAGGTAGGATTTAGGTTCCTTCTCTCACGTCTCTGCTTTCTGATTCTCTGGAACATTAAGTTCTTTTGCATGACACTGTTCTTGTATTATTTGCTGATATTCTCTTCACCAAGTTCCTCCTATGATTTCCTTAAGTTCTCATTCTTCAACTGAGTTCCTCAAATACAAATGAATAATCCATCCAGATCTACCACTTGCAATCTCGAAGGTTCTCTATTCTCTCCTTATAAGGCAGCCAAATAAATCACTCCCAATTATGCTCCATGATTCTTGAGATCCTGTTCCATATCATTATCAATATCCATTCTTCTTAAAGCATAAGCAATATCATTTTCTCTTCCTAAATCTTCTTTGATCAGTGAACACTTGTATTCCTTCTCCATATTTAAATGATCACTAAATTTGATGTGCAACAGAACGACTGCCAACTTCACTCGTGCATCGGATAATTTAACTTATCTTTCTTTAGCTTCCTTGATGCATAAACGATTACCCTATCATCTTGCATTAGCAGTCACCTTGACCAACACATAATAGATCCATGTAGTAGTATATGGCTGGATAGGCTCATGCAAGTCTAAGATATGCAGAGACGTAGATACTTCCTCTAACTGATTGCATACTTCATCAATACTTTTACTCCATTCCAAGGTAACACAATTCTAAATCGATCAGCTCATTGGTGGATATGGTTTCTAAATTTTGAACAAACTTCTGATGGTAACTGTCCAATCCACAGAACTTCGAATCTCGATAACTGAAATTGAGTACGACCATTATGTAGTAGTAGCGATCTTTTCTAAATATGCAACAACGCCTTCTTCTATTTACTGACTAAGGGATCTAACTTCCAATTTCCTTTCAGAAATACTTACTACAACGTGAATCGTCCATCAAACGTCCTTGGAATAAAACTGCGCCTTGCGACCGATCTTAACCATTATTAAATTCTAGAACTTGATACTTGACCCTGATGGTCACAACCTTAATTTACGATACTCGAACATAACCGCAAACTCTGGTTCTTCTTCTTTACCATTGACACAAGTACGTTCCACAGAAAATAACCAAGTCGAATGAAACCTTTCTCCAAATAAATCTTCTAACTACTACTTTAACTCAGGCAGAACCACTCAGTTTACACAAGAATACTGAACGGGTTACTTCTAGGTGTTGACACTCCTTCCAGTGCTATAAACATATCTTTGAATTCTCTGATTACTATACTATCCTCTATACTCTGCTCCTTTTGACCTTCTATGCTCCCAATGATCAGGATAATAGAATACACCACTTCACCTTTTCCCAAAAGGTTTTCAACTCTAGACTATTACGAGCGATGCTCCAATGGTGACTGGTTTTCTTCCAAAGACTTCTTTCCTTGACAATGTCTAATTGAGCTCGGTAACTAGATAGCCAGTCTCACTCTAGATAGAAACAAACCGCTCTAATGGAAGTACTAAGGAATGGGGATGGCATACAAAGGCATACCATAACTCTAAATGGCAGCCAATACTTCCACGAATATGAACGGCATAATCGAATTCACAAAAGTGAATCATTCCTAGAACAATGACACTACCCGGGAACTACATCTATGTGTTGTTCTCGCATCAAACACAATATGGGCGGAAACATTTCGTCCATAGGCAAGGTCCCTTATGACACCTTGATCACACCTTCACTTATTTATTTAATCATTCATAAATTTTTAAAATGCACACAACACGCAATGGGATAAGAAACAAACCTGCGTTTGGACCTTTTCAGAGGTTTTGACGGTCGACGCTACTATAAAGTGTAGGCTCTACCCAAATAGCCAAACACTTGGTAAGAAACTAATGGTAAGGAATGTAAATAAGTTCAACAAGTAGTATCCTAGCTATAGGCATTGGGATTGGGTAACTTCATGGGAAATGGTAGGATAACCTCCTTACTCATTACTGGCACAACCGAAGCGCGAACGACATTTAACGATCAAGGATTTTATCCACTTGAAAAATCATGGCCACACTCTCCTCATTAGCCAAACCAAAACAACTCAGGGTCCTCGGTCTTGATCTAATGAAACGTCCAACCAAAATTATCTCCATTGACTTTCTTGATTCATTATCTGAAGCTGACCTTCTATCTGAATAGGTTGATAGTTAAATAATCTGCATGACTTGGTAAACTTCTTCAGTAAAACGAATTTTATAAAATTTCATGTGATCCTCCACCAACTCTTCATAGCTCTTACGCTTTATAGTTTTGGGTTACTCTGAGATTACTGGCTAAGTCACAATAGTACATCTTCATGATCTTTAGGTCATTGATCCTCGGCTCCTCCATCTCCATAAGCGAATCTTCAATCTGTCTTGTGCATTGAGTAGAAAATACTTCTTCTTGAGTTCTTGAGAGAAATTTATCTATCTTAGACTAACATTCCCAAAATGATGCTTGGCACTTGATGACTAACTTACTGTATCCTTCTTGATGTTATATGCTTCAAAATACTTTCTGCAATCCTTAGAACAACGGGCCACATCAGTCGATCTACTTCAAGTATTGCATTCAAAATCTTCATCATTCTGAAGTCTACATCAAATGATCTAGTGCTTCCTCAATATCTTGTTGTCCCCACTACTTCTTTGCATTATAAGCTTCAAGATTTCTCGTTGCAATGGAATGGTGTTGGTGCGTCCATCGTCATGTACTACATTCGAACTATCTCTGCCACCAATGCGAAGCTTGAAACAATTGCTGAATCAATCAGGCTTGTACGTCTCTGGTTTTGGTATGTTTGCGCATAAGCTGGATTGAAATGAGTAGCCGGAAGGGTAAGTGCATCTGAGTGTACATATGCAGTCGGATCGTTCTGCACTAGATCAACACAAACAACGTCCACCTTTGACTTCAATGACACACGGGTCCGAAGATGTAATCCATGCGTCAAATATGTCCCATATATCTTTTAATGATCGGTATCCACACTAGAAGTTAAAAACGCCGCAGGAAAGCATGAGGATACTAATTCCGAGCATGATGGTAGCAAACCCGAGCACGTCGATAGCTCACTCGATCATAATGATAGCTCATCCGAGCATGATGGTAATGGCTTGAA